GAGGGTGGAAGAGTTGCACGTTTTTAAAATTTTAAAAGTATAAATCATAACCTAGAACTAATTATAAATAAAATGAAACAAAATAAAAATAACTTAGCTGTGCCATAATGTAGAAGTATTTAGTAGTTCTTTTTAAAATTTTCAATAGAAAGGTTTCACTTTCTTGATGCATTATCTCTGCTCTCTTCTTTGCCATATCCATCCAGGTATCTCACCTGCTTCCCACTTCCCATTCTCACTCTTCACAGATTCATATCCTCCGTGTCACCTCTCATTCCTACACACCCCAACCCTACAACAGAAGAGGCTCTGTCCTGCCTTTCCCCAGCCTTGCCTGACAAAGAGTTTTTGCTTCAAGTCACAAGAACTCCAGCTATAGGCCTAAACTGAGGAGTTTCTTCATTCCCAAAGTCAGGGAGATGTGTCTCTGCCTCTCAAACACATAAAGTTAAGTAAAATAAGCAAGTTGAAGTATACATACCATTTATGTGAAATGTTGAAAACATGCAAAACATCATCGTGTTTATTGTTTAGAGACACAAACATACACAGTAAAGGTAATAAAGAAGTACATGGGAACAATAAACAGCAATTTCATGAGTGGTTATCTTTGGAGGGGAAAGCAATCGGGAAGGAGTACACAAGGGGCTTTGAATATTATTTGCGAATGCATTACTTCTTAAGCTGAGTAAAGGATAGAAAAGGGTTTGTTATATTATTTTTATACATCTGAACTATTTCACAATAAATTTTAAAACAAAAGTGATTCAACACTATCAGGGAGCATTCCTTAATATAAGACAGAAAGCAGATGGCTAAAAATTTTATTTACCTTATCACCAAGAGCCTCTCTCTCTTTTTTAAGTTTTTTCTTAGCTGCCAACTTTTCCTAAAGGGTTTAAAAAAAAGAACAATATTAAGAAACCACCATTTACATCACAAACACGTACTGTGGCTACAAATTACTAATGCTATGAACACTCAAACTGAGCAATCTCTGTAATGTCTTAAAATAAACATCCTGACAGATTTTCATGCCTAAATTATTATAAACCAAATGAGCTGGCCAAGCAATAGGATTTCTTTAGCAAAAATCTTGCTCCTTCAAAAAAATCTAAATTGGCAAGTCTGAATATTTAAAATTTCACTAGTTTATCTTTTACTGTAAAACCTCATATCAAATGAAAGTGCAAAATGTGTATCTAAACAACTTAAGTTTTTGTTGTTTTGTTTTGCATTCCTAACAAGTTGCATCCTAAAGAAAACCATGGCTATGCTGGTTGCTTCTCTTGGAAAGTACTAAAAATGGGAATGAGAGATGAGTTTTCAGGTTGTTTCCAATAAAACCATCACTAGTTATCCAAGTATTTCATAATCAAAATATACTTTTAAAATTATTAAGAACTTGTGAGTTAGGATTGTCTGTACCGTAAATTTGTATCTTCTGGAGATTTCTGAACAGAACGCTTGACACACAACATAAAATACTTTTTTTTCCCCACTGCCTATTGACCCTCAATCCATTTCAGACTGGAAATTATAGTCCTAAGAGGTCTTCTAGGACACCCTTTTCCCATACTCCCACACCAGAATGGGTCAGATGCTCCTTCTCTGTACTTCAATAGCGCTTTGGTACTTATGATGATTAAGACTCACTCCAGGGCCTCAAAAAAGTCTAGTAAGAGGAGGCAGGCAAACAAAAAGAGCATTGTGTGTGTGAACTTTTATGATGTGCAAAAATAAGCAAATGCTTGCTTCTAATTTTGCAATTTAACCACAAATGAGCACTGTGACCTTGGGCTTGATTTATCTCCTCATATTTGTTTACCTCCCAGAACAGTATGAGGATGACGCTGACAGTTACTAGAAACTTTACAGTACTAATTTCGGTAAGAGATGCTGCAGGAATCAGAGAAACATCATTTTGGATTTCTGTACTGCCAGCATTACAGATTTTCGGAATTAACCGGCGGTAGGTGGACGATAAGTGGATGCAGTGAAGCGGTAAGCAGGAGTCTTTTGCCTCCTGTGTCAAGAGAGGGTAATTTTCACTACTAGGAGGGCGGGACGTCTTGCTTTCATTCTCAGCCCTGGACTCAGGAAGGAGTTGGTAACGAAGGGAATCCCTGACGCTCAGGCAAAAACCTAAACCTAGAGCGAGTCCCCAAAGCAGGGCGAGGGGACCAGAACACAAGTGCCTTAGCCTCACCCGCCCGAATTAAATCACCGTCGCCCGGGCCCCCAGGTAGGGGTGACCGCGCATGTGCAACACTACCACCCAGCCACCCCCGCGCCCGCGCGAGAACAGCGCGCACGCGTCCTGCCGCCTCCGCCCCTCTCATACCTTCCGCTGCTGCTGTTTCCACCGCGTGAACATTAAGTGTCGCCGCTGTTTGTTCTTAATCTCCGAAATGCTGAAGCCTGGGGGAAAGGCAGCCGCTCTGGGGGGTTGGACCCCGCTTTCCGTTGCCCCATCCTCAGCGACTGCGGCCTCCTGAGGTTCTTCGGTAGCGGCTTTGCGTTTCAGACCTTTCTTCCCGCTGCCGCCTCTCTTATCCCCGGTCTTCGCCATGGTGTTCGCTCCTTGGCGTCTACGGAAACGGAAATAGCTGTGTCCTCTGACCTCTTTCCTTAAGCTTTTACTTCCGGGTGGAAAAGTTCTTAAAGGAAAATGTGGAATGCCTCATGCGCTTTAGCCCTTTAAGAAGGTGCTGAAATTTAGGCTTGAGGAAAGATTAGGGGGCTTTTCTAGCTGTGTGGAAAGTGAAATGCTGAGTTCGTAGAATCCTTTATTGGGCGTCTGCTATGTGCCAAGCCCTCAGAATATTGGAACAAAACGGTCTTTGCTGTGTAGAGTTTACGTTCTGCTGGAGAGAGACCTAAAATGAGCTCACAAATAGATAGTATGGTGAGCTATAGGGTAATGTATGGTATGGAAAAAATAGAACGGGGTAAAAAGAAGATGAGGTGAGGGTAGAGGGGCAGTTTGCAACTTTTAGATAGGATTCTCAAGGTAGGCTTCTTTTAAAAAGTTACATTGAGCAAAGATTTGAAGGAGGTAATGGGGTAAACTATGCAGTTTTCTGGGGGAAGAGCTGCTAATCTGAGAAAAGTTAGTTATCTAGGAGAAAAGCTGTCCAGGAAAAGGAAAGATACAACAACAAGGCTCCTTAGAAGCAAGCCTGGCGTGTTCTGGAAACTCCGTGGAGGCCAGGAGGAGAGGTGGGGCAGGGGTTAGGAATGACAGATTGTAAGGACCTTGGCTTTTATTTTATGTGAGACGAGATGCAGATCTCTTGGAGGATTTTGACAAAAGGAGTGATCTGACTTACATTTTAAAAGCATCGCTCAGACTCTTCTTTGGAGAATAGACTTTACGGGAAGGAAAGTGAAAGGAAGGAGGAAATGACAGTGGCTTGAACCAGAGTAGTTTTAATGGAAGTAGTGAGAAGTGATTAGATTCTTTTGGGAGGTACAGTTGAGTGAAGGGCATGAGAGAAAGAGAAGCGTCAAGGATGACTCCAAGACTTTTGAACTAAGCGACTGGAAGGATGAAGTTACCATCGGTTGACATGGGAGAGTCTTCAGGTGGAGCAAATTTGAAGGTTAAGATCAAGATTTCAGTTCTGGAGATACTAAATTTGAGACACTTATTAGTCAACTGATCGTTGTTGTCAAGTAGTCACTTGGGATGTATGATTTGGCAGCAGGAGAGAAAGGTGTGGGCTAGAGATCAAAATTTGGGAGTCATCGGTATTTCAGACCATTATAGTGAATGTAGCTAAAGAACTGAAAAAGAGAAGCAGACCAAGGACTGAACTCGGGAGCAGTCCCACGTGAAGAGCTGGAGGGAAAAGGAGGACCCAGTAAAGGAGAATGAGAAGAGGAAATCAAGAGAGTGTTGTGGAAGCAAGTGAAGAAGGTGTTTCCCCAATGGTTAAATTTTGCTATATTCCTCAATTTAATTTTATGAAAATGCCCTCCAAAGAGAGACAAAAGAATTCCTTTTGGTTAGGAGTCAATTTTGCAGAAGCTACCTTAATTTCAAGTTATGTTTCAATATTAACATTGGGTGTTTTGATAATCCAATATTTTGATATCCATACTGCGTTTTTTACTCTTTCAAGTTTTTTTAGACAGGATGTTAAAAACATCAAAACTGCATCTTCCAGACTACAAGCCCCATCAAAACCACTGTCAAACCAAAAGTCCAAAATTGTGACTAGAAAACTAAAACCATCATGTTTGGATTTGAATTATACTATACAGCAGAAAGGAAAAAATGGTGTTGAGCTTAAAGATCACTGACATATGGGTTTGGCTGCAGTAAATCATAGAAGTTTGTGTAGTTTATTTAAAGAGGAATAATCAGATCAAAAACAAGGAGGAAGAAGAGGGGAAGCAGGAACAGACAAACCATCCTTTAAAATATGTAGACTGAAAAAATATTTTAGAAGTCTCTTCTAGCCTTAATATTTTATCTCTTTGCATAGAATACATCCTTTCCTCATAAGAACATAAAATAATCATGAATTGGATTTAGATAACTATCTTAAATTTATTCAGAGGTACCATACAAATGAGACTATAAGCTGCTTAACATAGAGACTTCCTTTTTTTTCTTTCATGGCTTATTTGTAGTAACAGTTGTGTGAGTTGAATGAAAGGATTTCTATGATCAGAATAAAATCCTTATTCTGAAGAAGTCACAAAAGCATTGATCAATTCAGCAAATATATATTTAAGCTACTCAATAAAAGAACAGAGTGAGTGAGTATGATGGAAACAGTGGGCTCCACGTTCAGATCTGTGTTCAGATCTTCACTTAGTCACTTAGATGCTATAAAATCTCAATTAAGTCACATAACCTCTGGGAGCATCAATTTCTTCATCTGTTAACTGGGGCTAATTATACTGCCACATAGGTTGCTGAGATAATGTATATTAAAAAAAACACACTCAATAAATACTAACTAGCTATTTTTATATTTCTAGGTATAAGAGACTGTGTTAAACATCATGGAGGAAAAAAGACATCATATTTGCTCTCATGTAGCTTACAGTTTAGAAGAAGATGAAGCACAATTCAAGTGTAAGTATTGAGTAGTGGTCGGTATAGAGTGATCCTTAACTTGAGGTCCATTTCAGCCATTTACTTTCTAACTAATTGCTTCATTGTCCATTGTTTTCAAGGCCCATTCCCAATATAGTATGTGTTATTTTAAAATAAAACACTTATTTTTTATAAAATTTTTTTATTGATGTTATAATAGTTTATAACATTGTGAGATTCCAGTTGTACATTATTATTTGTCAGTTACCACATAAATGCGCAACTATACAATTACTCGACAGATTTTCAATATCTGAAAAGTGTTTGTATTTGAGTCACTCTGATTCAGTTTGGGCAGGAGGAGGTGTAGCTCTAATCTCTCTTCACAAAATTGTATTAATTCTACTCTTGTTGACTTTAACTTCTTTCGAAAGAAAGCAGACACTGTGAGAGTGCTGGTGATGCTATAAATCCCTGTAATAACTTTTTTTTTTTTTAACTACCCCACTAATCCTAAGGAACTGGCTCTCTCTATTTTTTGTGTGTGTGTGTGTGAGGAAGATCAGCCCTAAGCTAACATCCACGCTAATCCTCCTCTTTTTGCTGAGGAAGACTGGCTCTGAGCTAACATCTATTGCCAATCCTCCTCCTTTTTTTTTTTCCCCCCCAAAGCCCCAGTAGCTAGTTGTATGTCATAGTTGCACATCCTTCTAGTTGCTGTATGTGGGACGCGGCCTCAGCATGGCCGGAGAAGCGGTGCGTCGGTGCACGCCCGGGATCCGAACCCAGGCCGCCAGTAGCAGAGTGCATGCACTTAACCGCTAAGCCATCGGGCCGACCCCAATGGGTAATTGTACGGTGAATACTATCATCGCTATATACTAAGCACTATGAAATAGACATAATGCATGTGCTGGCCTTTCCAGAAACCAGAAATATATTAGGAAACTAGAAGTTTTTTTCCAGAAATAAGTCTTCAGATTGTGTCTTTAGAATAATTTCTAATTATTTCCTTGAGGTATATAACTTTTTTCAGCAGACTCTAAACTTGGCCATGATGCTATAGGATGCAAGGGCAGTCCTCACTATATTTTCCAAGTAGCTTGATTCGTAGTAATAAGGCGAGCTGTTGGGATAAATAGGAGTTTTTCTGCCTGTTAATATTTCCAGAGCATGTATAATTCCACATGTGTTTTCTCTGGTGATACACATTTCTGATTCCTACCTGACCAGGAAAAGCAACACCACAATCAAATTGCAATTTCACTAAAATATCATCTCCTAAAATGATTTCTAGTTGTTTGAGTTCATCAAAGGAGCTTTTATTTATATCTTTGGAATGTATATGGTGCCTCTGGCTGGTATTTCTGACTATGGGGCAACCATAAATATAATTTAAATATTGGTCTGGAATGGCTTTTGTGTGTCTAAGTATTTATTCTGTTGATTCGTTCATTCAACAAATATTTATTAAGTTATACTTTGTACCAGATCCTCTGGCTATAGCAGTCAAGAAGAAACCACTCCCTGCCCCCAAAGCACTCCAGTGGGGAGAGACCAACAAGCATAGAAGCAAATCCAAAAAGTGTGAGAGGTTCTATGGCTGCTACCTTTTTGTATAATCAAGACCAAATTTAGAATGACATCTTCTTATCTCTTCTTCAAAGAGCCAGATTAGGTATATTTGTAAGTCCCTTGGTGGTAGCTCGGATTATATTTTTCATAGAAATTAACCCATGTGTGGTGAGTAGATCACCCAGACCAGAGACACATCTACCATCATTGTTATTGGTTTTTGTATACCCATGAGAAAATTTTGATAAAATAATTCTTATGGTATCACCTAGCGTGGGCACCTAATTTTCCTATATGAAGACACAGGAAGAGACTGATTTGGTTCCCAGTTAGAGAAGCTTACCATAGACCCTAGAGAAACAAAACCATAAATGGTCTGCTTGTATGCATCAGAAGATAATAATGCATCCAGACCAGTGGGTCTCCAACTCAGGTGTGCATGAGTCATGTTTACTTTTTGCTAAAGTTAGCTAAGAATCTGACACTAAGGTGGCTCTTAGACACTCAATTCCTTTTTATTACTGCTTACATTAATATTTTGACACTGATTGGCTTCATTGCCCAGAAATGGCTGATTTTTGAATCTCAGCAGGAAGACATTAAAGTCTCTTCCTGCTAAATGCAATGTGGTATAGGGATTGAATCCTGGGACAGAAAAAAGACATTTGTGGAAAATGAATGAAATCTGAATAAAGCCCAAAGTTTAGTTAATATTAATGTAAGTGTTGTTTCTTAGGTATTATGGCAATATAAGATGTTAACATTAGGAGAAACTGGGTGAGAGTATATAGGAACTCTCTGTATTATTTTTGCAACATTTCCGTAAATCTAAAATTATTCCAAAATAAAAATTAAAAAAAAAAAAAATCTCTCCCTGACCTTTCCCTTAACAAAGCCCCTGAAGTATTATCAGGTAAAAGAAATCAAAGAACTTCTCTACACCAACTCAGGCTTCCCATTTGTAGGTAGACCAACATTGTTTAATTTGTTTTGTTGGGGTGACAGCAAAGCTACTAACAGTTACAAAATGCATTTGCTAAATATATAGGACAGACAATTAAAGCAGGAGAGGTGCTTCCTTTACTCTCCATTCCTTGAACTTTTATGTATAGAGTTTCCACTTGAGTACTTTGCACTTAGTGATATGTTGTTTTAATAATAATGCTCAAATCATTTCATGGATGACTGTTCCCATCCACCCCCGCCCTCCTTCAGAGCACTTAATGCAGTGTGCTGCAGGAAGCAGGCATTCAGAACTCAGATTTCTCTGACTAACTGAGTGACTCAATGTGCTACCTGTAATTGTATTTTAAAATTTAATCAGGGCAGTTCTAGGAACTCAAGGGGATAAAGTCAAAATCAACTATTCAAGGTAGGTTTGCATAAATTGTGTAGAGTGAATAGACTTCATCAAACTTGTCAAAATGCAGAATTTGTCAGTGGAAACCAGAATATCAAAAACTTAAATCATCCATATGAAATACTCTCAAGACTGAAGGTGAATAGTTCATGGTGAAGTTAACATTTCTAAAATAAATTTTGGGCTGAACAGAAAGTTACCATTTGTTACTTCTTTCAAGCTTTCATTTTATTGTATTTTGTTTTTTAAGGTAATCAAGGATCGCAAATATTGTCTTGTTCTGGCTGTCGATACATGTTGAGAAATTCTTAAAAAGGCCTATAATAGAAGGAACCACTTATCGCTCCAATCTTCCTCAGTAGTATCTGTGTAAACTAAACTCAAAGCTACTTAAAATTACCAAGAATTATGGTACATCTAACAATAGAGCTTCTCAAAGTGTTTCCAATGTATCATCTCAGTCCTAAAATTCCTGTAAATAGATGCAAGGCAGGAATTGTCACCATTTTTCCAGTGAGAAAATGGAAATTCAAAGAGATTAAAAACAGCACCCAGATTAAACTACAAATCGTAATTCTTAGACTATTGCTCTTCCAAGTAATCATGTATCATGCCCTTAGATCCATATTACTTAGAGTGAATTAAGTGAAAACAACCCATACATGCATCTGCATATAACTCATTTTCTTTTCTTGACTCTGCAGTGTATGTTCAGCAACAAAGCACTTGATGACGTGCAATGTGGATCCTTTAAAAGAGGCAGATGCATGAAGTTTGGAGCAGTGAATGTAAGAGCAATATTTGTTTTTAATTTACATATTTCAACCCATGTTTTCTATTGTGGAGATGGTAGAGCTTGATACCATTTTGGCAAAGTGAATTTAAGCAAAAAATATATATATTTGACATATCATTTACTGTATCTATAATTAGACTTACCTCAGGGGTTCCCAATTATAGAAAGTGGGAAAGAATTATCTTTATGATTTCCTGAGGTGAGGTAATAAATTGAAAATTATTTGGTTGACACAATTACAAAATTATTGGTCAGATGCCAGGGGAATTATTGATTTTTCTTCCAGGTTTTTTTCTTAGGAATAGAATAGTTTTCAAATACCTGAATAAGATTTCACATTCAAACCATTTATAGGGAGCTTTAATATTTGAGCTGCTAAAAAGAGGTTTACCATTTGAACTGCTAGGAGACTGTGCCTTCTAGCTTTATGGAAAATGAAGATGTACCTAATGTACTTTATATAGCTGATAAAAGATACCATCTATTTCATGTTTTATCTCAAATTAGCATAAACATTTCTGCATTTGTTGTGAAACTAGCATCTAACATAGAGCAGTCAGGGTTTGGTGTCCTAGATAAGGAAATACAGTGTGTTATCTTTTCCAGAGGAACATTGTATTGTCATATCACACATTTAAATAGGAGCCATGGTATTGATCCATAGCCATCTTCACTAAAAATGGAAGTCTCCCTTAACTTGGAATTGTATTTAATGAATAGAGCACATTTACTCCATATAAACTATTAAGTAAGATGATTCCATTACTCATTTATTCATTCATTCTATAAATTTTTCTGAGCTGCCACAACCAAGCACGGGCCTTATGAGGAAGCCAAATAAGCAAAACACAACATAAGGCCCCTCTCTGCAAGGAACTTAAAATTTAATGAAGAATCAAAACATACAAACAAGAAATCTTATGTCTTAATCCAGGCATTAAATAGCACTGGAAAAGAACAGTCCTGTAGAAGTTAGAAGATTATATCTACGAGTAAGTGCCGTGATATTAAATAAAGAGAGTGCCCTGTGTTTTGAAAGCAATGTATTATAATGGTTAGGCACGTAAGTTTTATTTTTTTATCGTATAATTTTATTGTCTATATTCATTATACTGTATATGAGATCTCTATGGCTTATTTACTGCTTGTTACAAGTTTGTACCCTTAAATACCATCACTCTTATCTCCCCTTTCACCCCTAGTAACCACCATTTTACTCTCTATTTTTTCACAGGTGTAACTTTTTTAGATTCCACATATAAGTGATATCACACAGTACTTGTCTTTCTGTTTGACTTATCTTGCTTA